CACACACACACACACACACACACACACACACACACACACATACATACATACATACATACATACAATAGAAGTCAGAATTATTAGCCCCCCTGTTTGTTTGTTTTCCCCAATTTCTGTTTGACGGTGAGCAGATTTTTTTCAGCACATTTCTAATTAGAATAGTTTTAATAACTCATCTCTAATAACCGATTTATTTTAACTTTGCTATGATGCCAGTAAATAATATTTGAATAAATATTCTTCAAGATACTAATATACAGCTTTAAGTGATATTTAAAGGCTTAACTAGGTTAGTTAGGTTAAGGTTAGGGTAATTTGGCAAGTTATTGTATAATGATAATTTGTTTTTGAGACTATTGAAAAAAATAGAGCTTAAAGGGGCTAATATATTGACCTTAAATGGTGTTTAAAAATTAGATGCTGCTTTCATTTTAGCCGAAATAAAACAAAATCTATTTGCACTGTTGTTTTTGTGGTGTCCCTTTAATCGAAGTGACTTGAAGGATAATTCACTACTTACATCCATTTGCTCCAAACATGTCTGAATTATATTCTGTGAAACACAAAACAATATATTTAAATTTATATTGAAAGCCAGTAGAGCCACTGACATACAGTTTCCAGCATTCTTCAAGTACACGGAGGACATCTATTGGTCAAAGGGAGTAAATGCAATTTAAATATAGGCAATATTTCAAACTGAGTCAAAGCAAGATTTATATCATGATCATAAATGTTTCATTGCAGTCTTTTGAACACCATTTCAAGTGTTATATTTTTTTTGTCATATTAAATTTCTATCCATTTATCACTGTGTTTATAATCGTGGTTATAATTATAGTCATTTTTTGGCATTTATTCCTCTCCCACTTGTCAAAAAACAATATTTTACAGCATCAAGCAGAATGAGTTCCTTAATTTTGCTAAACCTGAATGATTGCCATTGTACAACAAAATGGTTTTTCTTATTTTATTTTATAAAATAATTTTATTCTATTTATTATTTTATTTTATTTTTTTGTATCATTTATTTATTTATTTTTATGTTATTATATATAATAAATAAACAAGGACAAAGAATAATCCATGCTGATTAAAGGCTATCTCATCAGCAGTGATGGGGGAATTTATGTGTGATCTGTTTTTGTCTTCGGGTTCTTTGTTTGTTTTATTGTAACTAGCATGTAATATTGTTCCTTTTAGTCAGAACTTTGGTTTTCAGACTCGGAAACCGTACGTAGGCGAAATATCTATGTTCAGAGACAAGCAGGTGTCGCCACATATGTAAATACTTACAGATTACTTGTTAGTAGTAACACTTTATGTTAAACGTAAATTACCTCATGACTTTTATGTCATGATGATTATTTTGTGACTAAATCTGCAGACATGATAATACTTCCGGCACATTTACAGTCAAAATGGTAAAATCCTTTATAAAGAGTAAAGCAGAAAACAAACCTTTATTATCAAGCTGAATTCATGACCATTTTAAAATGGGCGAAATCGCGCGAAACAGATTTGACCGCGAAATTTCCCTGAAGAACAGTTAATGCTATACCGAGTTTTAACTCGGCACAAAACGTCCCAGGTAAGGCTTTAAAACTAATTTTCAGCTATATTTAGCATATTGTTTCATACGTGTTTCGTTTATATAGTTAACTCATGTGGCTAGCCTATCGGCCAGTGTAGGGAAAAGGAATCAACTTGACGTCGCGACGCCATTAACATTAAGTCACAGGACTGAGTGAAGTTCTGGATTTAATGAGCTCCTGAAACCCTTTGCTGAGGAGCAGAACGATGTGAAACCTCTGGAGTAAAATCACATTTAATGGCCAATTAGTTCCAACAATAGAGTTCTGTCAGGAAGCCTTCAGTAATTAGCAGTGATTTAGGCAGAGGATATTGATTGACCAGCGACGGCCATTTATTTAGCATTTACCTCAGTCAGACCATCATCAGCTCACCTGTTAATAAAAACACAGCGGGTTTCATCTCTTTAATCTTCATTTCCTCATCTCAAAACATCAGATCATCTGGAGAAATCTGTCAGAAATCAGGCCATATTTCACCCCCAAATACTTATGTATCTTATTATATTGAAAAATGCTGGTTATAACCCAACATTGGGTCAAATGAGAATAAAAGTGTAATAAAAAAAGTAGGTTAAAAGTTAAAGTTGTTTAAAAAAAAAAAGTTTAATTAATATTTAATTGATAAAAATACCCTGCTGAAAAAATCCAGCTTAAACCAGCTTAGGCTGGTTT